GTTGATGCTTTAGTTCGTTCTGTCAGGAGCTTCGCTTCACCTTTCCCAGGTCCAGCCGTGGCACCAGCCCCGGCCGTGGCCCAGTGCCCAGCACACCCACGCTACGGGCGGCCACACCCACCGCATACCCTGCGCCCACACTGCTGCGAGGGCTCAGGGTCACTGGGCTGCTGGTGCGCAGCAGGCCGGTGCGGGGCGTGTAGCGAGGAGAGGAGATCGAGGAGATCACCTGAGCGAATCCAAGGCGGATTCCAAGGCCATCATGTCCTAATGGCCATGGATTTGCAATGGATTCCAATGATTCCAATAAGACCACCTTATGCACCTTGGTAGAACCAAATGCGACCAGTGCGCAACTCGCCCCCTCAGTGACCTTGTGACCGACAAATCAGGGGCGCTCAGTGAAGTAGCCATCCCTTGCCTTGCACCGAACTGTGGTGTCACAAGATTCTTTCCAGCGACACGGGTCGCTACGTGGTCAGGCTTGCTTGCTCACTTGGTGATTCCTGTGAGAAGCCCTTCATTTCTGTCTCTCACCATTTCTGTTGAACCCATTTCAGTGGAAGTCTCAAAATCCCTTGAAGTCAAAGCGTATGACGAAATACAAAGGTTTGTGGCCCGTGGTCACCTCCCAGGAAACTTCCTGAATACTTTAAATTTACTAGAACAATGAGTACAGTAGTTATATCTGACTCATAGTTGGACTTCCGGAGCATACCCACTGACTCATCCAAACCAGCTAATAAAGCTACCTCCAACATGGACTTCCTCGCAACCACCCCCCGCACCTCGCAGCGTCCCGGTACCGGGGAAGGCGGAGGCGCCGCTGGCACCGCAAAGGAGGCCTCCGTAGTTGATCGACGGGTGGAGGAGGAACCGCACCGGGTGCGTTTTGTTTGGTGGCCTGAATTCGTTTCATGAGTCTTTTAGTTGCACAATGTTGCACTTGTGTCCTGCAGCTGTGAATGCTCTTCATTGCCACTTAGGGTAAGAAGAAACAAAGTAAGTAAAGGCTTTTCCCGGTACAGTCATCTACTGTCTGGTTTGGTGTGGATTGGTTTTGATCTCTACTGATCTGATACAGGCCTGATCCAAACAATTCCAAACGTATAGTATAAAAGCAAGACCATCTAATCTAGCTGTCAAAATCGCGCACCTCTGCTCTACTTTAGATTCCCGCCCCACCAGTGTTGTTTGAATCAACACTGACACCTTGCCAACATGATGCCGGACGTGCGATATGTGACAATGTCAACATGTCAATATCCAGCTTTTTCGTTGCTGGGACCATATCAACCTTCTCTCCAAAGAAATGGAAGCAGGATGGACTTGTGGTTGCTTGACCTGAGTTTCTTTTGGAGGACTCGCACCATGCCGCGGTGTGTTGGCGCTTCGACGCTCTATAGAGCGCACCCGACCATTCGCTCGGGTGCGCGACGAGTTGCCCGCCTGCCAGTGATCTCTTGGGGTATGAGACCGAACCGGTAGTTGCATAGATCCTGCCCGCGAACCGCGGTGAGCCACGGAGTCCGGACCGCGAAGCCGGAAAGGACGCACTCGAAAAATTCCAAAAGACCCCAAGAATGAGGAACCACCTTGGTATACCTCGGTGTTTTTCCGCACTGACAGAAGTCTCTTTCCAGGAGTTCCAGGTGTCGTTTGGATTTCTTGGCATCAAGCCTTGGTCGGGGCACCTAGGCCATGTTTTCATGGGTTTACACCGATTGTTGATTTACATTGGTTGCATCAGCAAGACTCAGCAAGCCATCACGTGTAGGGTTCCACTCTTACACCAGCCTTGGGCAAACCTTGTGCGTCTCTTGCGCAAGCGAAGCAAAACTACACTTTCTGTTTGATAGTATTTTTGTTTAACACTTTGCGCAAAAGCCCGTGCACGAAACCTTGCGCCGATGCAGGTTTTTAGAATATCCAATATCAATCAACAACAATCACCTCGCGCTGATTACCATGTGCGTTTTTTTGGACGACTCCCACCTGAACCCAAAGCTGACGGAACCAAAAGTCACCATGCACCTGAAACATCAACACGATTAACCACGTCATCAAGACGTATCAAGATACCGAAGAATACCGAAGATATAGTTGTGAGATCGAAGCCGAAGCTTGTATAAAGTCACAGTTCCTTGAACCCATGTTGCAAGAGCCTTTTCTCCTTCACAGTTTGCAGAGGCAAGTTGCAATTCCTACATTCCTACATTAAACTCAAAGCATTGCCAGCAGATGCCAGCAGTGGTGCAGTTTGTTTGACTGAGCAGGGCAGGCTAAAGCCAGTGGCATTTGAGTGCCAGTCACCGAAGCCGCTGTCCGGCTGGCCCCAAATACTTACTGTACGCGACGTGGGACGTGGGACGTGCTGCCAAATGACCTTACAATCAAATACAACATACTCATCCGATGCCGCGAATCACATAGCATCACCACGAGAACAGCATTCTGGCTCGGGTGCACGACATAGTCCCTTTCTTGATTCATAACACCCCCGACGTTCTTCATTTCAATCCACATAAAAATTGTAGCAATCTAATCAAGATTCTACAACGACAAGCTGGATGAGTTCCAAGCTTCGATCCGTTTCTTACGACGTGGGCGAACGATGCTCCACGTCAACGTCCACTACCAACGTGGGGTTCATGTTGGTGTCTCCGTTCGGAGGCCCTGATGTTCGGCCCTCTCAGACCATCCCGGGAGACTCTGGAGACCGTCCCAGAGATCTGGTGACCGTCCCCGGCGTGAGTTGAGTGGAGTTTGACTTCGCATGACGGCACCTGATCTGGACGGCAAGGGGCTGTTGGCACCAGCACCTGAAGCCTCGGAGGGGAGAGCCTCTCAGTTCCTGTCTCTGTGCTCTCTCTGTTTATGTAGAGGTGAGAGTCATTCCTTCTTCTTAGGGCCTTGAGTATCCCTTATTCTTCAGTTGCACAAGTAAGCCCTTGTTCCGGAATGCGGCGTGTGTTGAACGTTTCAATTGGAATGGATTCCGGTCGTTCAACATGAGCACCCTGATTCCTGACTCCTTGACGATCATGGAAATTTGCCCGACCTCCTTACCCCTTTCCCAAAATATGATCAAAGCCTTTGAACCGAATTCAACATCATGAACCAGCATGCCGGACACGACGCAGGCGAGATCGACGACGCCGGTCAGTACGTGGAGGATCCCGGCCAAGCTGAAGGATTGGCTGGACGGAATCCTCGCTTCGGTTCGACGCAAACAGGCACCGGGCGGAAGCCTTTCCACGAGGTGGTTTTTTAAGTGACATGTAGGGTTGAAGTTGTTGGGGAATGGCAGGTTCGAGATGGGAGGTTCATGCTCACACGCGAGGAGACCAATTCGTGTTTGTCGGGAAGGCTCGTCCACAGCTTCAACCAAACAGGCTCCGACCTTGTTTTCTTTTCCTTCGCAGCTTTGACCAGTTGATGTGATCAAGCTGTTGCTGAGGAGATCTGGAACGATCGAAAAGCAGCCTGGAAGAGGCTGTTCTACTTATTGCAGTCATATTGCGGTCAAAACCTATTTCATATGGACCATGACTATTGGTTCACCAACTAAGGTTGAATAACCCTATAGACTATCACATAGGTACCCTATAATGTCACTCAATAACCTCTCTTGGCAGGTGAGGTAAATGTTTCCATTGTGGCAGAGTCTTCTGACCTGGTCCCAGGGCATCATTTTCACCCTTTCGGGGCCCTGAAAAGTCCTGAAAAAACGTCGGCCACAGCTCTTGGAACTCGACTGAAACCTTTCAACCCAAGGCCATAAGGGAAATCCATAAAAAGATCCATCGACATCCACAGATGTCCAAGGCCGTCATTCCTTGCATCGACATCGGTGCGACCTTTGAACAACCCGTCGAATCCCGTCGTGCAACCAGCGATCGCTCGCTCCGCACGAGGCGACAGGCGTCCCGCACTTGGCAGGCGCTGGATCTTCACGTGCGACACCAGGTTTCACCTGAAGCTCGACCCGCAGTTTTCCGTGCGTGCCACGTTAGGGCCTAAAAATAAAGAACATCCATCTGAAGTGGTGCTTACCATTCCTGGTGGTAGACTCCTTGGACTCCTTGGTCAGATTTGAGACAGTTCCATGGAAGATCGCATTCAAAAGCTTACCGTCAGTTCCTCCAATCAGTTCCAACTCGTAGGCCACACTGGTGCCCACACGGTAGGCCATACTCCTCCGGGTGCGACCCGCGGACAACCGCACGGTCCGTGGCCTTCACCGATGCACCCGGTCCGCGTGACTCGGGCGGTCCGCGTAGATGGGTGACAGACCTCAAGCGGTGCTTGGCTCAAAGAATTGCAGAAAAAACCTTAGAGATGCCAATGACTTGGGTATATCCCATATTATCCCTTTCCCTGGGCCCAGTGGATGATGAATCATTTTGAATGAATCCCGAGCGTTCGTTTCATGATTCATCAATTTAATGTGATGCAAACGACCAGCTTCATCCCGCTCCTGAAGATTGCGAGCGGGACATATTGGGACCCATCAAATGCAAGATTAAGATGAGGAATTATTGGAGTCTGAGATGGGCACCCTAAGCGTCAAACTGCGGTGATGTCAAGAGATTGACCCCCGCAATTGCAGCTCATTTTACGGCACACAAGTGCATAAGATAGGACACCATTCGTCAATCTTCAGACAGAATGACCCTCTTCCCCCTAAATCTTCAACTGATCCAACATGACCAACTTCTTCACTTTCACCTCCGCAACCCAAATCGGAGTTAGGAATTCCTCTTCGCCTTTTTGGATAGCAAACATGGCACGATGCGCACGACAGGGTGGCCCCACAAGGAAATAGGACATATGCAGATATAAAACAGATTCAAACACTATAGAATAGGCAACAGGTAGGGGAGCTGCACAAGGAAACACACATCTTTTTAGCAATATGTAGCAAAATGTAGCAAACACTTTTGGCTGGGAAAGAATCGTTACCAAGCAGAAAAGGGGGCCACCCGTGAGTGCATGAATCAAATGGAGCTCTCACAAAGCGCCGGGGTCTTCCAAGGCTTGGCAAGCTTCAAGAGCTTCTGTTGGCCTCGAAAGTAACTCGTGGCTGCTTCGTTGCGGATGGTCGTCACTCGTGGAGTAGCCACTCTCGAGTGGGTGTACGTTTTGGGACCCAGCAGGCTGAAGGTCCAGGCTGAAGTAACTGGGCTTTGTCTTTTAAACGAAGCACAAGAAGACCTTGGAGACACCCCTAGGCCCTAGTGACGGCTTAGATTCTTTACCATGCGCGTTGGTACATCGTGGAACGTCCGCGTTCACCGTTCAAGTGTTTCTGAACGACTACTGAGGAACCATGAGGAACCTGAAAGGCTCAGGCCCCTGCGATGTGACCATTACAACTGCGCACTCTTGGCAGTTTTGTATCCTTTTGTATCAACCCGTGTGAGGCCAGCCGCATCTTGCTGGTCCTTGCTCACCATGCCCAGAAAGTCTCCATGACATCCATTTCTGCTCTTTCGGTGAGTGAATCTTTCGATGAAAAAGGCGAGACACCGACCACGATCCAAAACAGACACAAAAAAAGCGTCCAAAAGCGAATCCGATCACGTTCAAACCCTGAATCCGATCACGGCCATCCAAGAATCCGATCATGACGCGTCGATTGCGTTCGGAGATTTGCGCTCTCAAGATCTGGCGGAGAGGCTTCGGCCCCCGATGCCAGTCGAGTCCGAGCGATGCCCGACTCTGAATCCTTCGCTTCAAAGGTCTGATTGGTTGGAAACGCCATGGTCATCCACATATATAATCTATTATATAATCATACATAGTTAAAAGAAATACATAGAAATAATACGATGCTTCTTCTGCACTGATACGTTCATTCCCAACCTCTGCATGGCTTGCCGACAACTAAAGGTCGCTGACAAATGTGTAACAGGTGTAGGTCAATTTCAGCCGTAATTCTACAGGTGAATCCCACGAATACCCAGGGGGCTTGCCATGAATCAACTGTGCAGGGCATCAGGCATCATCTTCTGCATATAAAAGACGGGAGTACCTCACTTAGGGTTTCGGATGGGCAAACAAGTTGTATTTACAATCAATTCTTCTCAGCCCCCCCGCCTCTTCAGTGGGTTTCCCCTCATGGATCTCCAAGGCAATTTTCCTCAATCCAAGTCGAGGTGACGCTCACCCAAAGTCTCCAAGACTTCAATTCTGTCACTCAAGAGCAGTCTATCGCATCTCTTCCACCCACGGTTCCGTGTGACGAAAGCAGGGGGATGGACCTCTCTTGCCTTGCGTATACAGTGTTCACAAGCAGCGAGGCCGTTGGAACCCTCTTCGGACCCTTTGGAACGGTCGCATTTTGGGATGACACGATGACAAGGATCATCCTCCATGTTGAAAAAAGCACCAGAAAAAACCACCAAAGATCATGGATTCATCTTCTGATCGAAAGCACAGAAAGCATGCACCATGTTCCAAATTGCCCAATCTCTTGAAGGTAAAAGGGTGGCACTCAGGGTTGCAATATTGGCCGAGGGGCTGGCCACCACGATTGGCGAAGGGCACCTGACATGTGATTCTCGGAAAACTCGAACCTGCCCAGCTTTTCGTTCAAAAGTGAACATGCTGGGAAGATATCTACCTGACATCCTGAAAACTCTCTGTGTGTGACAAGCCAGGACCTGAGGAGGTGTTCTTTGAAATCTTTCATGTCAGTAATCCTATAATTAGGAAAAATATGGAGAAGTTTATGCACAACCAAATGAATGTGATCGAACCCCAATCAAGGATGTACACACAATCTTCCGAAGTGCAGGAGGCTCAATCCGATTCACACAAGGGCCTGCAACAAAACACAAACCAGGAGTTTAAACAGCAGCGGCTATGAGATGCTATGAGCCCTCAGTGAGTTGATCAAAGGCACCCCCTGAGGCGGCCCGTCAAAACCTCCATTTACACATGTCGTCCTATGTCCTATGTGCTAACTGGTGGCCACCCTTGCGCAAGGCCAACTCGTCTGCCTCTTGCAAACGATCGATCCACGTGGTTCCATGGAAGGCGAAGGCTGGCGTGAGAACTCCACCGGCTCCGCCCGCCTTGGCCAATTTTAGGGCGGAAGCGCCGATCGGAGCTCATCTCTGAGTGGTACTATTTCAACGGAAAGAGCTGAAAGAGCTGAACTGTGGACTCCATGGAATCATCCCAGGGTCCAAGGTTGAAAGTTGAACTCAATCTTTGAGCAAGAGACCAACGGCAGAATGGACAAAAAACAAACAACACTAACAACACCAAACCGTTCTTTCATGTTTATGAACATACCATCACCAAAGAAGCTAGTAGTAACAAGTGCCACGCTAGTAGTAACAGGTGCCTTACTAGTAGTAACAAGAAGTTAGTAGTAACAAGTCACCAAACCTTGTTGCGACCGGATTTGGCCCACCCTTGATGGATCGAACATCGCCCGGAAGTGGAGCCTGGTGGATGGAGTTGGGTCAAGGAAGGAAGTGCAGGAACACAGAATAACGATGCTGTTCTATATGTCAGTTGATATATATATAATTACTATACATATACATATATATATATATGTGTAAACATATCAGTTGATATCAGTGTTGACAATGTAGTGTTCAGTTGATATCAGTTCTGATGTTCTATAAAATATAAAACAAACCGTTTGCTGTCATTATACCAGTTGATATCAGTGTTCGATGATGTTATATAACACTTCTGAAGACATAGTTCAGGTATGGCAAATTTCCACCTCAATCATTCCAGAAGTTCTTGCCACCTCACGAACTTGTCTTGCCACCTCACGCACTGCAAGCCTCTCTTCACAATCTTTTTGGAGGTTGTTGGTCAAAACTTATATTATCCTTGGCAAACACAATCATATGTGTATGCTTGTGATTTGATGCTTGCCTTTCCACACATACGCCAAACTGGCTCTGACTCTGCAAGGTGCCCCATGTACATTGACGAATATGAACAGGACATGAGGGACATCCACCTCCCATGGTGTGTGGGCATGTGGGTGTGTGAACCTTCAAGAAGCGTTTGAACTTCCACAAAACTCATGGAACTTCACACAAGAATTTGCGTGAGTCATCTAGCTCTGTTGAGAGTTTCCCACATGTTTCCACATCCACTTCAGGTACCAAAATGTGAGCCCAAGTCTTCCGGCCTCTTCCGCCAAGACCAATGCCCCGCACACAGCGCACATGGCAGAGACTTCATAGGCACAGCCCGAGGTCCAGCGAGCATAGGCCCAATGACCTACCAGGGTCGGCCGAGGCGGACCGAACGCCACGAAGCATGGCACGCCACCAAGCATGGCAACGAGGACCTGAAGGTCTTTGTAACCTTCAACTGGAGTCTCTAGTCTAAGTGAGCTTTTACAGGCCTGTTGATGACCGAAAACCCTGGGTGATGACAATCCTGGGATCTAAGGGGACAGTCACTTTGAAGGTCGTGGCACATCTGGCACATGTTCAAGGTGTTTGGATGGGCCATGAGCTGTTTCTAGGTTCTTGACGGCTTCATTCCTTGTGCCGGCTTCGAAGCCAATTTCCGTGCCACTACTACCTGCCGGTTCAAAACGCGCTTGTACTTGGTTGCATAGCCCTGTTTTTATGGGCAACAAAAATTCACTGCCCTGGGCAGCTCTCTTGTTGCTTTCTTTTCAGAAGGTTCATGCACCCAACCCTAACCTTGCATTCACACAACTTGGAACCTTCTCGTCTATCATCCCTTTGCAGGACTCTAAGAAGCTTTGAATTGCCATGTACGTGTGTACTGTGAAAACAGCGATTTCTATCAATGAACAAATTCCTCCAAACTGTTTTTTGATGTGTTTTTAAACTCCAACCTGCAGCTCCGGTTGGTCGACCGCACCGCTCCACTCTCCCGCCCACTTGACTCCGCCTGACTCCGCCTGTGCCAGAGCAATGATCTCAGCACCGTAGAGCTTCCGGAGCTCCTTCGGCGGACCGAAGCCCGGCCAGGGCGCTTGGTCCCTTTCGCGCGCCTGCAGGAGGGCGTCGGCTGCCTGGAAGGACGAGTCGGGAAGAGGCGAAAGGAGAAAGGAAAAGCGTGACGCAAGGAGGTAGCAACTCTCAGCAAGGAAGGAAGTATAGGGGACGTAGCATATCTAAATTTGTAGGAAATTGATGGACATTGAGGTGGGGAATGGGTCCCAGGGCAATTGAGTGGCCATATCCTGGTCCGATTTCATCACTCAAAGGGGGAAAAATGCAAAGAAGTTTTGTGGGACAAGGAGGTGACAAGCTGAGAAATTCTTCGATTGAGAAGCTAGGGATTTCTCATCCCTTGAAGATCGAAAAGCTGGTGTTTCTAAGTGCTGAGTCTTCAGTCCTCAGACACAAACCATTGAGCTGAACTTTTGGTTACCCTATGGCTCCACCGATCTGGGTCCTGTGTGTCCAATTGGGTCGAACGGCGCATAGCAACATAGTCCCAAGAACCCGGTCGTCGTGCTACTTCGCCCAAAGCCATGGGGCGCCGCGACCCAACACATCGACCGAATCGACCCGTCACTGATCGACCGATCGCCAACCCACTGCCGGTGGTGGTTGACCTTTCTCTTCGCATGTCCCAAGGCCGAAGATGGACGAGAGAACCGCGGCGCGACCGATTCGCCAAACGGAATCGATTTGAAGCCTCCTTCTTGGGGGTGGAGAAGGATTGCAGCTGCTGCTCCGCCATCGCTCGCTGCAAGTGCCCCTCGCGGATCACCACCCGCAGCTCCTGGCCGTAGCGCAGATCGGCAGCAAAGAGCTCGGCGCTGCGGCGGAGAACTCGAGAGCCGGTCCTTGCAGGTGGCAGGTGAAAAGACACGGTCTGATTGCAGCTGTGTGGGAATGCCTGTTTCTGATTCTGATCGGTATAAAATGCTTAAACGTAATATTTACAAAGCAAAGCAATACGTAGTGAGATGTAACAATGTAGCGACGATGTTCAGGTGACATTTTGCCACCTTTTGTTGCCAATGCCGCCATCGAAGTCCGACAGTGAAACTCATTCGCATCTCATTCGCGACACTGCATATGATATGAGACCTCTTTGTCATGACAGAATTTCACTTTAATGGACATCCGCATTGACACAAACCTTGGTGTGTTTGGGCGGAGGATTCAGTCTTCAGGACCTTCCAGGGTACAATTGGCAGTTGCTGATTTGCGAAATCGCCCCACGTGTTTTCTCCGATTTCTCCATCGATATTGCATAACGTTTGCACATGGTGGTTGATCTATTTCCTTCTTACAAACACGCAATTCTTCGCGAACTCCATGTTTAACTTTCACAGGCGGTATATCCTAGAAGTCTTCTGTTTCCACATATCTATCTTTCGCAAATCCATTGCAACACATCTTTACTTTCACACTTTCGCGGACAACATAAAAGGCTTTCAATGAACCTAGGCCGTTTGTCGACCTTTTGATCAACTACCACATAAATGTTCCACCTTCTTGACCAACTGCATATAGACAAAAAACTGACGGGATAACATTCCCAAAAAACTAGACTCAGGGTTCAGTCAACAACATTCAACACCAGTCACTTCTGCAGCGCTATGGATTCCACCCGGAACAACCTCTGTTGCCAATGATACTCTTGACATCTCAGCTGGGCGAACTAAAACTGGTCACACAACATCACACAATACTATATAAATAGTAAGCATTCCCACACATCAGGGGTTCGATCTTTCAATCTGTTCCAGCTTCTATTTGTTCAAATGTCCCTTTGAGACTTTCCTTCTCTCCCAAGACGCCCACTTCAGCAGGTCACTTTTCGCGGCTGATCGGATGCATCGGTTGCAAGTTGCAACCCCGAAATGTTCCAGTTGGGGTTCTGCTTCGAAAATCACCTGCAGTTCATTCCAAGCGTCGAGCTGTTGTACGCAGGAGCCAAATACACGGATGGATACAGCGAGTCAGCCTGGGGATGGGTTGCCATCGCATACACTGAAGCAACACACCGACCTAGACAAGACCTTCTGAAGGGTCCAGGGTCCCTATCACCATGGTTTTTGCATTAAGTATCATGTCACTGCAGGGATCTTGCACCCAAAACACCATTGCAAATCTATCGGCACGTCTGTACCCCAAGGATCTGGCGGCACCCCAAAGACCCGGGTCGTATAAGAATGGTCAAGGATGCGTTAGATGCGACACTTCCCGGGACGTAATTTCCCTTTGTATGTTTCTATTTGTTGGAATTTGCCGGGCCGAGCACACTCTTGGGTGCCCCCAAAGAGCGCCAAACTGACAACCGGTGGTCGACGGTCGCCCACCTCCACCTGGTCGCAGTCCAAATCCTCGGGCCTCGGAGAAAACAACGGCAGAGTGACATGGAAGACTCGAAGATCCAAGTTCCACAAAGTCTGAGAAGATGGGAAATTGGAAATTCCACATCTCTCACACCATCCAGGCAATAGTTGCCTACAGGATCATAAATGTGGTAAGTATCATTTATTCCAAGCATGGATGGCCTGGGTCTGGAAGATATTTTGGAAGAGATTGGAAGAACAATTGCTAGGAACATGGAGCGGTGGGTGAGCTTAACGTCGATGGCGCTTTGCCAGGATGTGTACATGGAGAAACTCCCGCTGTAACATCGAGGCGCACAAAACCGACCCAAGCTTCAGAAACGGTGAAGTTCTTTTTGTTGGATATTTTCCGGCCATTTGTGAATCATTTTCCGGGCGGCCTTCTTCCAAGCGCAGAAGGAGCAGCAGAAAAATGAGGGAGGGAGGGAGGGACAGGGAGAGGACGAGAGTGCAAAGGAGGAGGAGCAAAGAGGAGGAGGGGAGAGGGAGTGGGAGAGAGGAGAGAGGGAGAGAGGACGAGAAGGCAAAGGAGAATGAACAGAGGAAAGAGGAATTACTGTAAGGTTTTTTTTGGGGTTTGGCTCAAGGATGTTCTTTGGGTTTGGTATGCGTTGGAACAGCTCCTGCCTCCTCTTAAAATTGACACTCGGCCCGCCTCGTGGCTCACAGTAGGGTATGCTATGTTGGAACGGCCAGCAAAATTTACCCTCCAGTGCACACTAGGTGTCCGGCATCATGCTCCTTCCTCCTCTAAGCCCTCGGGTGGCTCTCAAAAGGCATGCTACGATATGCTACGTTGGAATGGCTGGCCCCTTCCTCCACGATCTTTTCCCACCCACACTCAATCACGATAAGAGGATAAGAGTCAAAGGGTGCGTGACAAGTGACAAGGTAGCTCGAGGCACAGAAGCTAAAGCCAAAGCAGAAGCAGAAACAAAAGCAACAGCAGAAGCCACAGTAGAAGCAAAACCCGAAGCAAAGCACCAGTGGAATAAGCTGTCCCACAAGTGGGTGGAAAAACATCCACAAAATTTCCCTACTTTGAGTGATCCCCGCCCTGAAAGGCGATTTGGAATAAGGCAAGGCGCATGTCGCATTGACAGACTGGCCCGACAAAGGCGGACATGCGGATTGACACAATGTTCTGCACGCTTGTTCTGGCATCAACTCTGCTTTGTTCCTTGACACATCATCTATCATAGAGGCTGGGAAATCCACTGCGATCGAGCCCTGCGGGTTGAGGTCCGGGAGTGCCCACTGGGCTCTGACGCTTGCTGTTGAGGTCCAGGAGTGCCCACTGGGATCTGGACCTGGAAGTTGAGGCGAAGAGACAGAGGAGGAGGAGAAGGACGAGGAGGAGAAGGAGAAGGAGAAGATGGCGGGACCCTCTTCCAAAATCTAACGACCCTCACCTGACAGGTGGGGCCAAAAACGGTTCCTTCAAAATGTAGGCCCTCTAGGTTTGCTAAGTGAGCATTGCTTCAGATGTCAACGTATCCCAAGTGCCCAGCCTGTCTTTGCTTCCTCTGCCGCCAAGGCAAAAAGGATCTTTGGCAATGATCTGGCCATCTTCGTCGCTGCACAAGGAAGTGATCTTAGATCCACGAGGACATGGCAAAGATGCAGGGAACTGGGTAGTTTTCGATATTCCATCATCCGTCAAAGAACATGACGCAATCCTCTCACCAATAGCCTAGACCCAATCAAAATGGACAAACACCACCGGGCCCATCGGTGCGATTGTCACGGGTCTAGGTGCGTCCGAAAGTGCTGGTGCAGCAGTGCATCCGAGTCCACTGCCATTTTCACCCAACTGGTGCTGTTTTCTACACATCTCTCGAGCAAGTGATTGGTTCTGGGAATCTTTGTTGGTCTTGTCACTCGTTTTTATACAAGTTGGAGTTGATGAAGAAAATCGAACTCGCTGAGTAAGGGAACATGTAGTATTTTACCATATTGTAGTTGTAGTATAGCTGGCCATCTCGGTCTGAACCATTCTGAACCCCTTAGAGATAGACTTTGGAGACTTGAAGTCAAAGAAACCTGAAATAGGAACAAGGTTCGCTACGAACGGGGCTCCTGGCATCGCTACGAACGGAGCGATCGGACGCTACGAACGGGGCTCCTGGAAGTGTACTTTTTCACCGGTGCCGGACACGGCTCACGGAACCAAACAGTTTGGCACCAGTACAGTGTCTATGTCAGAGCCATATGTACGCGTGCCCTCTCTAAACTTTCCCCTTTTTGCCCCCGAAACACACCCACAAACTTGGTGTCAGTTATTTGAGTGGAACCAGTGAAATATCCAGTGACACCTTTGCTTCTCATTGGCATCCCTATAAAACACACTCTCGAAGGCTCGCAAACCAACAATGCCTCCGACAGGCTCCGACGATAAGGCTCCGACGTTCGTCTGCAGCGTTCCTCCGCTGATCCCTCCGAACTGGCTGAAATATTCACCTGCAAACGGCAAACCGGTGGAGTCTCGGTGTTGAAGGAAGGCACTTCACTCGAACACAAAAGACAGGTCTCTTGACAGGTGTCATATCCTTTTTTTCAGACAGGCCAAGGACACTAAAGCGCACGAAAGCAAACCTAGAAACATGCCAAGTATTTAGTTCTCTCTCTCCCACTCACTGACATGGACGAGGAACCCCCCTGGTTCGTAGAGCAAAATCAACACGGTCTCTTCGGGGTCGCCATCTCTTCACCGTTAACGCCACTTAGGTACTGTGGATCAGACTGGACGGCTTGCACAGGCGGGACTGGGCCCCAAAAGGAGCTTTGCGGGGCTTGGCCGGAAAGGCTGTTTAACCAAGGACACCCATGAACAGTCATCCGAACTCCCAAAAGCCGCAAAAGAACTCACAGAATTTGGGTCCTCTTCAGTCCCCACCGGTCAATCTCTGCCCAGGTCCCGGCAAAGTCCAACATCCGCGTAACACACGTCATGCGTCCCAGAGTCGATGAGTATCCTTACATTTAGAGAATTGGTCGGGAGGTGGGTCTATGGCCGGGTTTTAGCGGGATGAGTTCCGACACAGACACACACACACACATGTCCCCGTTTCTGGGTTGTGGAGTCCAGTCCTGCCTTGACGACTGAGCATTAACCGATGGCCTCCAACCTATAGAGAACTGTGTATAACGTGTTGAGATCGCATCATATAGAGTAGTGTGACGGGGTTGGATCTGATGCTGGTCCATGGATATCTACTTCATATCCCTGTTAGAGTTTCAAGGTGAACCTGGATTAACCCTTCTCTAACTGGAAAAACGGGCATGCACTTTTGCCTAGTAAATGGTTCAATATATGTTGTGACTATTTTTTTCTAATCAAATTATGTTCATCTTTTTTCGGTCACCAACATGGCTGACGCAACGGGAGCAGCGGTCCATGCCTTCTTCGCCGAGAGGCGATAGTCTTTCAAAGGTCCTAGCGTCCGAACCAGGCTGTAGCACAAGATCTCATCCGGAGCACCTCAGTGGCGTAGCGTTTTTGACACGACAATTTTCGGAGAAGGACCTCTTGAACTGAACATGGATTTTCGGAACTGTTTTGATGGGATTCTCTTTGGAAGATGGACAATTCTGGGAACCCTCGGAATTGAGAACGCAGTTGAAACTCATGAGTACGAAACATGGAGGTTGTACTTGGACTGGGATGGGGCTATGAAAGGTTGCAGTGTATATTGATACTATTACTACTCAGTGTACAGGATTCTAGATTTAAGACTTGAAAGGAAAAATCTTGAACCATGGGGAATCCAGCTGGTCATGTCCTCCTTTACACAACCACCTGGCATCCTCGAACAGGAGTTGAAACCTGGGTCACTTGAAGCGGATGAGGGAATGCAGTGCTTTCACATGATGTGATCATGTGTCTTTCTGACACTCATCTTCAGCCAGCAGTCATGTAAGTGGATAGCACGGCCCCTTTGTTCCACAATTTGTTGGAGGGCTTTTTGAGGTGAGCTCTTCACTGGGCGACCACAAATTGTTCCTACATGTTGATGGGACATTCCCTATTCTCCCTCTTGCTTTGGATCGAGCTGCCGAGTTTGCCTATGCACAACATTGCACAACCAAAACAAGAGTGCGAGTTCAAACTCCCTAGCCTTCGTAGTACCACTGAGAAAGCGGACGTAAATAGAGTTGACACGGTCTTTTGCACCGGCTCTATCATGTCTGTCCACCGCCTCTTCGGGCTAGAGCCGCCTAGCCACACACATTCCCTGCAGAGAGAACGATCTTTGTCTTGAGCTCTTCTGCTCGAGCGTGATACTTCTGGACCATCTGATACCTGGAGAAGTACAGAGATCAACGGAATCAACACCAACCATCTGGCACCGGAGTGAGCACTCAACAAAACTGACACCTATATATAAATGATGTGCTGGGTGCAAATGAGGTCATGAGTCATGACACTACTATTTTTTAGTTCTATTTTATCAGGCCATGACTCGAACAGTTCATATAAAATACATCACCACTGGTCCATACTCCGATCCAACACCCGCCAAGTGACGCTTCGACGAACGAACACCAAGGGCATGTCAATCGTGCGACCAAGGTGCATCCAGGGAACTTCGCCCGTGATGTCGACGTAATGCGTGGAGTTCTTCACGCAAGCTTCCACCACAGCCTCGTAAGTGGGGCTGAAGTATGGAGGACCGGAACCCGCGTTTCTTAGCTTGTGAATATGGTCCATAATTCACCAAGTGAATAGGTTCGCTCCAAAAGATCCTCAAAGACTTGGATGGGGAACCAACGTTTCCACTGTCCTCTCAGCATAGACGCTCTGATACGCTATGACTTGTTCAGTCTGTTGTGATCGGAAACCATCAAACACCCGCAAACTGGATATGGAGAATACAAGAATGATCTCTGAGTTGGCCTGCAGCTCAATGACACCCGCATGGAAAGGGCAAACACAAAGGATACACGAAGGTTATTATATATAATTTGCATATGTGTTCTAAATATCTTCGGCAAGGAGGCATCAAGCAGAACTGCTGGCCAGCTTCGTACCCTTTCACCCATATCCAGATTGTATCGGAAGGGTGGTTCACCAATTTTTCAAATCACCTAATTACTGATGTCCCACACCCTTCCACCCTTCCTCGATCACGGATTCACGACTGCATACCTCTGCAGTCACGCCTCCCCACAAAGAGCATAAGGTCCAATCGCCGAGATCACCACCTTTCGTCGCTCCGTTCGAAAGACGACAAGATCGGGTGGGATGGGACGGGGTCAAGCGGGGATGTGAACAAACATCTAGCGGATTCTAGCGGCGTTGGGCATAAAGATGCGCATTCTTTGCATGACCACGATGCCAAACGTGTGAAAAAGGCCTACAAAATCCATCACACGGCGGCAGTTCTTTGGCCACGCTGACTTAGTCAGACTCAAAAATTTGGACCCCCAGGAATTCCCTTGGCTCTGAAGATCACTAGGAAAGTACAGAAGTGCAGAAAGTCTCAAGACGTCTGCGCTGGAGAACCTTCGTCTCGATCGTTGAGATTTTGCTTCCAGTGCTGAACCATTGAGATTTTTCCTCCCTAAAACTCACATGAATTCTGAATCCTGCCATTGAAACAAGTGCATCGCTACTAGTAACAAATGCCTTACTAGGATATTGAGCGTCTCATTCATCTGAAACTTCTCTCCAAACCCCGGATCTTCCTGCATCCTCTCATCCTCCACACCCCTCAGCAAAAAAAACATATAATATATATATATATACTCCTTGAGTCAGAATCATTCCAGTGGAAAACCACCTGTTTGGTATTCGGAGCATGGTCATCCACAGGGCCCTTTTGCTACTCTCATCAACAGTGACGACCGGTTCGCGGCTCGCCATGTAATTGGACCTCGCCACTCGGCCCTTGGAGACCATGTGATCCAACTGCGCGTCATCGGAGACGTGAAAAATTTGTGGGCAGCTCCGGCAGTGGCTCGCCACGTTCCTTGAAACAGCGACAGGCGGGCTGCGCGGGCTGCGCGACGCATGTGTGGAATATGGTGTGGACGAAAAATGGTGGCAGGAACTGAACAGCGACAAATGTCCACATGCCCTGCCAGTTGCTTGACCGGTTGACCGCGGGACTGTTGTTCATGACGGGCCAAGGATGGGATTTTTGGTAGATTCACAGTTGGGCTGTGAGGCTCGCGAGGCCGGTGCATACTGGGGCCTCATGGTGCCGCTATTTTTCGATTTTTGTGGAACCTTCCCTCTGGAGGCCTTCGTACCAATCCCAATCCAGCCCCAAGAGGACTCACTTTAGTTCCAGGGTTTATCAGTTCCAATCCTTCAATGTCTGTTCTAAGCAACATCCAGCAGTGATGGATGATGCTTGTGATGCAAAAGCTGCGACCTCTGAGTCAAGCATCTTCAGCTTTGCCAGGTTTCGACCAGCTACACCCCATTTGAGTTGTTCGGCTTTGGGTTGTAGGTCGACCAGGGCATCCAAGTGCTCAACCATCAAGCTACCAGTGTAACCTCAGCTGAGAGGAGCTTGAGTGCATCTCCTGGAAGATAGTACCTCAACCCAGGTCTATGTTTGCCTGGCAAACTGAATTCGTCAACCAGCTGATTCAGTAAAGGTATATGATGGTGCACCTGAAAGCTAAACATGACCCCTGTTCAGTTCTGATAAGAACTTGTTATATTTCAGGCAGTTGGTGATCCAAACACAATTGGGGAATGGACATGTGTGCGGCGAGCATGTGTTTTGCAGCCAACATTGATGGGCAAACTTAGGTAAACAAACAATTATATATATATATATAGTTGGCAGAAGCATCCGCGTTTGCGTTTGTATATCCTGAAAGCCCTAGGCAAAAAGTGGGTTTGGGATATGCGAACATATATGTGAACACCCTGCCATACCTTGGTAGCTGCTGGAACACTCACACTGTGGTTAGCAACCCATTTCACCATGCCAAGTATTGTTGGAGACCTCATTTGCCCAGCTGCTCCAAGAACAAGAAACACGTGGCCAAGTTACTTAGCCCTTGACCGAAAGTAGATTGTCGACAGCAGTGCAGTATCTTTTTAAAAGGAATATATAGTCAGAACGTAGTGCAAAACTTCGGCAGCCGTGTGCGAGGACAGAAAGACTCCGTCGAACCTTTCGACAGCTGGATTGATCGCCGCCACATTCACTTTGTAAAAACCTGAACGCCTATGATGCGAATCATGCTGAAACAACAAGCGTGGCATCTTCAACATCCCATCTAGACGTTGAACTCTTGTCTTCAGTGGCTAGCTCCTTTTTAGGTGTTTCTCGGACTCCTGTTCTTCCAAGATTAAAGTTGGCCTCCATAGATGACTCAAAGTCTCTCATCAATTCCTCCATTTCGCCCTGGAGGCACGCTTTTTAACTCTGATCCAAGGCGCCGGTGGCGCCCAGGATGATCACGGCGAGGTCCCGACCCAGGTCAGGAACTTCCACAGGATCCAACTCATCCAACTCGTCAAAATCCATGGGAGCTCGCCCCGTTCCCACGCGTTGGAGAAAGTTTGTGCGGTCAGTCGGACTGTGGGCGGGGAGGAGGTTTGGGGAAAAATCCTGAAAGATCCATACTGAGGGTACCTCGGAGTTTCTGGATTTCTTTTGATCCTCTCGCCGACGTCACATCTGGGTCACATTCTTCTGCGCATAGCTGATGCGGCTTGGGAACTTGGGCTTCGATGAAGGTGGCACCAGGTAGGACATGTCAGAAGCTGATAATCCAGTTGCCGTTGGACCGAGTGCCAAAGGTACATGTTCCATCAAAGTTCTCTTTGTAGCATCTAAAAAACCAAACATAAGTTTGTCTGCCTGTCCTTGAACCTTGACCGAGGTGGTATGTCTTCTCTACATGTCCGTGGACATCTCATTGAAGGTGGTATGTTGCATGAGTGCTTCGTATACCTGAAATTCCATCAGCCCATCAGGGGCTTTGGAGCCTAAAGGCGAGCTACAGAGTTGCTCCTGGACAGATGGGGCGAGGCCGCAAGGCCCTCGGCCACTGGTCCATGGCTTCCATCCACCTCAACCCAACACGTTGTTTGATCCTTTCGGGCCTTTTTTGATCCAATCACTTTCAGACCTCCCGTGACCGCAGACCGACGGAATGCCCATCCCGACGCCCGAACCGCGACCGCGCCCGGTCCGTGGACGGCGGATTGGGCCGCCCCACACCGCTGCGGCCGACCGTCCATCGACCTCCCGGCGTTGGAGTGGCAACCTCCCACGGCGAGGTGGCGAACCGCCACCCGGTGGCGAACCGCGAGACTGACGGGGCGGGGGCGGGTGATGAAACGCATGGCGACGCACGGCCAGACCTGAAGAAAAACCATGAATGGATGTGAATGGCTGTATCTCCTACATACCATGAACATCACGAAATTGATTTCATAATCAGGATGAAAAAAGGACACAAAGGTTACTTCAGCTTGGTTTTAGCTCACTGAGGACGTACTGTTGATTAGTAGAATCCTGTACATACTCCTTGCTATGGGGCCGAGGTATTAAAAAACATTTTTAGAAACAATGTGTTCATAAACTGGGTTGCAAAGCAACTCTCTCAATGTGAAATTAACCCTTTATATGAAATGGACAGTTCAAGACATTTCACCTGTGGATGCTTCTTGGTCACTTGTGTTGCTATTTTGCAGAAGGCCTGCTCTTTTGTAGGCACACATTTTTTCCAGCTGCCTCGCATGTGCACAAAATGGCGCACAGGCAGAAACCAAATATATAAAACAAAAAAATCAAAACATATGATATATTGTTTCTAAGAGAATGGCCACCACTGGCCACCACCCTAGTAGCGATGGCCTCCAACAAAAACCATAGTCTTTGAGAACACCAGAGTTTTACAAACTGAAGCAAAACTCTTGCAAACTTTGTAGCCATTCCGAGCTTTCCATAGCTTTCCCGTGCATCCATGCTCTCCTGTGGCATGGCTATCTCCAATCCCCTTCATCAGCCCCTGTCTTTTTGGGCATCTTTCTCAAGAAAATTACATAACTTGTTCAAGCCAACCAGCCCTTAAACCTCCAGAACCTACAGTCGCCCAGCAACCCTTCCAGGTCCTGCACAGCCCTTGATTACGAGTCATGCGCCAAAACCCAAAGAGAAGTTTTAGTTATACATATATACAACAAGGACTGGCCACGGGCCCTGGGGGTGTTCCCAGCTCAGTCCGCGCTGGAACATTGAAATTATGTTGCTCTCCCTTTTAAGAACAGAAAAGAAGCATCTCCTCTATCTGTCAAGAGTGTGGTTTCCTGAAACGACCCTTGGGAATTGATATTGGGCAACCTGTTTTTTCACCCTTGAACCCTGTTTTTTTCACCCCGCCCTTTTTTTTCCACCCTCCACCTTTCTTTTTCACCCTCTGAACATGTGTTTTTCACCCTCGAACCTTCTTGTTTCACCCTCTACCCTTTCTTTTTTGACCCTCGACCCATTCTTTTTCACCCTCCTTCCTTTGCTTGGTGTGTTGGTTGGTTGGCTAGCTTGTTGTAATGCAAACCAAATATCGACAGCCTTTGGGGAAAACACAGGGTTGTGTGGTTTTGGTTGATTGGTTTGTTGGTTGCTCGGTGGGCTACCAATGCAAAGCAAGTATCGACAGCATTTGCGGAAAACACAGTTTGGTTGCTACCCTTTCTTTTTTATCCCACTTCCTTTGGTTGGTGTGTTGGTTGGTTCGGCCTGCTTGGCTTGTTGGTTGCTTGGATTTGGGTAAAGCACATACAGTGATGAACGGATCATGTACAGGGAGAAAAATAGAACTTTTTGGTGGGTTGGTTGCTTGGTTTGCTTGCTGTTGATTGCTTGCGTGATACAGCGGATGGATGGATGGATGGATGGATGGATGGATGGATGCTGTGTAGATAAAGACGGGACGGGGTGCGGGGGAGGGCGCAGCGCCTTCCCCGCAATGCAAACCAAGTACCGACAGCATTTGGGGAAAAACAGGGTTGCGTGGTTTGTTGGTTGCTTGGTTTGTTGGTTGCTTGCTTGTTTGATGGGTGGATGGATGGATGGTCTGTAGATAATGGCGGGCGGGGATGGATGCATAAATGGATGGAGTGTAAATAAAAGCGGGAGGGCATGTGGGATCACACAGGGTTGTGTCGTTTTGGTTACTTGGTTTGTTGGTTGCTTGGTGGGCTACCAATGCAAAGCAAGGATCGACAGCACTTGGGGGAAACGTTTGGTTGCTTGGTTTGTTTGCTGCTGGTGGGCTACCCACCCTTTCTTTTTAACTCTCCTTCCTTTGGTTGTTGTGTTGGTTGGTTCAGCCTGCTTGACTTGTCGGTTGCTTGGGTTTGGAGAAGACACATACAGTGATGGATGGATCATGGACAGGGGGAAGAATGTTACTTTTTGGTGTGTTGGTTTGCTTGCCGTGATTGCTTGCGTGATGCAGTGCTTGATGAATATGCAATTTTTCTGTTTGTGTGCTTGGTTGATGGATGGATGGATGGACGGACGGACGGATGGATGCTGTGTAAGTCAAGGCGGAAGCGGGTGCGGGGGAGGGCGCAGCGCTACGGGATGGGTGGTTTTGGTTGCTTGGTTTGTTGGTTGCTTGGTGGGTTTGTTGGCTTGGCCGCGTTGTTGCTTGGTTGGTTGGCACTCCGTTGATGGATGCATGGATGGACGGATGGATGGATCCTGTGCTGCCTCACGTTCCGGAGGCGTCCGGGTCAGTTTCCGGCGGTTCCCGTCGTTCCGGACAGTCTCTACGCAGTTTCCGGAGGGTTCCGAAGGGCTAGTAACAAGAAGCTATTGGGGTGAAAACAAAGGGTTTGGCAGGTGCAGGGACAAGCGGTGTGAAACAAACCGGAGGTGACATCGTTCTCTGTGCAGGTTCCATGGGATACCTGCTTCACCGGCGGAGGGTTGAAAAGAAAGGGTCGATGGTGAAAAAGAAAGGGTGAAGGGTGAAACAAACAAGGTGAAGGGTGAAAGAAACACGCTACAGGGTGAAAATGACAGGGTGCAGGGTGAAAATAAAAGGTTTTGGGAGGGTGGAAAAAAAAGGTTCCAAAGGGTGGGAAAAAAGGAATCTTGAGGGTGAAAAAAAAAGGTTTCGAGGGTGGGGAAAAAAAGGGAGCCCATTGATATTTATGGATTGCATGGACATCTTTCACAGTTGGAGTATGTTTTCATATCTATGACATTGGTACCACTCCTACCCTTGACGAAAGAGCATCGCCCACAATCTCACATCCTTGCTCGAAGATGTGCCCAACCTGTGGTCTCTACCACACCAGCTGCCAAGCTTTACCTTTAAAAGACTTTTCCACCAACCAGGCACCCTTGCGTCTATGAAATGGGTGCTGGTTTTGATGATGTTCGACCTGTAAAAGGTGCCGATTTCGGGGCCACAAAAGGGCAACTGAGGCATCACCATGTTTGACCCATCGCCATATATGGCCCCGTTCAGCAGATGTCCTCCACACCTCAACGCTCCAGAAGACACTGGTCCTGCCGGTACTGTGGTGGGACAAACGCCGTGTTCGCTGAAGAGAAGCGACTGGGCGTCCACATCAGAACTGAACATCCCGGAGAGATCACACCCTGGTCATGAGCTGGGAAAGGGAGAGATTGTGCAAATGAGTTGCACACCCAAAAAGGCTTGGAATTGGGCCTTGTCCACCTGTCTATCAAATCAATTTGGTGTGGGTTCCAAACCCGGAGCCCTAACCTGCAAAAAGTTCACGGTCTTCTCCAGAGGTCTCAATGAGCCAATGCCCTGTAATCCATGCCACTTTATGTAACTTATGAGGAGGACCCCAAACGTCAACAACTCCCGCACTGGTTTATTGAGGAGCGCCGTTGTAGGGCAAATCTCCTTAACTTCCACTTGGGTCCCGGTTCTTGAATTCCGAAATAAAGGTCACTTTTGTTCAGAACCAGTCGCCGAATGGTCAGACCACCTAAGTCTCCGCCGAAGAGAATATCAGAGTGTATCCAAAGCTCCCATTCAAAACATGTCATTCTGCTCGGCTGGCGCAGCTTCCCAGCCTGGCTGGCCTCCTCCGCTGCGCTTTGGGCTCACACCGGCCACCTGAGGAAAAACAACGACCCGCGCGGAACGGAACGGCACCAAGTCCCACGAAAACGCCGGACATCCGAGAAAAACCTGAAGTGCCCTCCTAAGGCAAGAAACACTGAAAGTGCGTTTTTGTTTTTTAATTTCTGAAGGAGCAACTTCTATCAATCTTGGAGGCTGCCCAAGTATGGACAAGCTGTGAACCGCCTTTTTGGATCTCAAAGGACTCAAACCTTCGAGGCCAATCCTCTAGCAAGGCTTCAAGAAGGCTCTTTTGCTACAAGGATCTGAATCATCACTTCATGTGTCACGAAGCTTCTATGGAGTCAGTGCCTGAGAACCTTAACTCTGCGAGTTGCCGCGCCCTCAGAACTCTTGAGTCAATTTCCAGAGAAAGCCTTGTTGGGATATTTTTGGCAAAGCCCCGTTTAGAACATCAATCGCAGGCAAATGATGCCCCCAAACAGCTGAAGTTTGCAAATATCTGACTAGTCTGATAGCCCGGTCGCTGCTTTAGTTGAGTCTTGATCATTACTCAATCTCTGGAGATATGTCATGATATGTCCAAGGTGAGTGTTCCCAAATCACCATAGCACGGCAAGTCACTGACACATCCATTGACCGAGGCTCCTTCTCCGGCCTTCACGCTGCCGCGACACCAAACGGACCCTGCCTCTGGCCGGCGGGAGCGGCTTGACAAAGGGGCCGCCTGCGCCAGGCGGCTCGATGGGCTGGGCCCAGTGGTCTGATACACGCCCAGTGCTTGGTAGGTTAGCTCATGGAGATTCGTTGCTGTTATTTGTGTCAAGCCATGAACGGGCGTGTATCAATTGCTGGGGACACCTCGATCCCTCGATCCCCTGTGGAGGGAACTACCCATCACTGGTCTACCCATTGGGCCAGAGGGGTCGTCCAGATCTACCCATTTTCTTCGAAAAAAAGGAAGACTTGTCCAGGAGTCACAAAGGGGTGCCTATTGAAGGATAGGGGTCCCCCATTATCCGCTCACTTCGAGACAAAAAACACCCCTGTGTGACTCCTGGGTGTGATCTCTTCTTGGTCTCTGCATCTTCCTACCTCAAAGCCTCAAAGAGGACGCCTTTGTGTTTTTCCATGTTTTTCCACACACGCGAATGATATGTTGACCACTCCAAGCACGAAACAGAACCACCAACCGGGGTGGAAAGGGTAGATTGGTCCATGCTTTGTCTGTCGCTTTCGAACACTAGAACTATCCACACCTCAACCTGGGCCACTTCGGGGTGGTCTTTCGAGAAATCATCTAATATATTGGCCTGTGGCCTGTGATCGCAAACAATCATTGACCGGTTTGAAGATTGGACTCAGGGCACCCTAGTCGCATCATCTCAACCACCACGGTACGGTTTCTGGTGGATAACACCTTCTCAGATAGACAGAGAAAATCCTTTTCACAAGGTGGTTGAGACTTGCTGTCGAGTCGAGACCCGATGTGGGCCATGTTTCTTCTCTCTTTTTGCTCGACGCACTCACCGGGCCGGGCTCAACGCACTCACCGGAACGCACTCACCGGGCTCGGGCGATGAACTGAAACACCATCGTCTTCAACCGCCCATACAAGTAAGGGTGGAAGAGTGATGTAACACGTGGATTCAGCTCATAGTACCCTTGAGCCTCTGACGAACACATCACACGGAAAGTGGATGATATGGCCCCATGGAAGAGTACTTCCTCTAGAAACACAGTTTTCATGGGTTTTCCACTTCCATGTGATGTGTTCGTCAGTCCAAGTCGTAGTACGCAACTCAATTCTTTCCTGATCGGAATCCGGAGTTCTGGTTACTCACCCTGCACTGCACTGATTTCTCAGGGCCAGATCTGTTGATGAGACACATCAAAATAACTTGTCTTGCAATGACGGAGATGAATGCAACGCTTTAGTCTTTTGTGTTTAATCTATAGTTTCCTTTTGTCAGATAATTTTGACAGGTTAAGGCTAAGATAGGCTAAGGCACAAGCATATCTTATGGTCAGGCTTTTCTCCATCAAGGTGGCTGCTTTCGGGGCCTCTTCCTTCAACGGGGTGGGCTCTTCAAGATGCACGAATCACTTGGGTTCGTGGATTTTGGTGGACGCATCGGTACATGGATGGCCAGCTCCCTATTTGCTGTTGATGTCCCCCCCCAAAACACGCCCAGTTGGAATGGAAAGTGCAAACCATGCGCGGCTTGTGGGATGCCCCAGAAATACGAATCCAGTGTCACATGGGTTCCAAGATGTTCCAAGTGCAGCCAGTGTCCTCAGTGTCCCTTTTCACCCTCCAACAGCAGCAGGATAAAACAATGGGATTGTTGGTTCACTTAAACATGAAAGGAAGTGGGGGCCTGTCAAAAGGGCTATCTTCAACATCTTCAACATCAGAAGTTCCAAACATGTTCAAAAAACGAACACCCTTCTAACACCACCGGGGCCGTTCTTCCACAACACCTTTTCCGGTGCCCGTGCTTTCCAGCGGTGGCATCTTCATCACTTGGTGGCGACCACCCGCGCCGGACCCGACGGCTTCACACCGGGGCGAGGCCGTTGGTAAGCGATGATCTGCAGGACCTAAACAGGACTCCCCAACTGGGTGTAGGATCACGAAAAAACGATCCCAGAAGCGGTTTGATGGGACAATTTCATATACACGAAATCCATTGTTTTGGAGGTGAGAACTATGGTCTCCTGTGGAGGAAATCTCTTAAACAAATTCTGGGATAGGACGATCTGCGAAGCTTGGACCACACATTCTTATGGAGAAATCTTAGAGTTCAACATCAAGACCTGCACTTGTTCTTGTGTTCCGAAAACGAAGTGGCAATTCCAACCCTTTGGTCTTGTTCGCTCGTCGGCCCGAACTTCACGACATCCCATCACGGTCCGCCAAGAAGCGACCACCAAGTTGAGCACCGCACCCACAGAATGAGAGATCAATGAGAGCATGTCCTTGCCCAAGAGTTGCAAGGTGGTTAAGAACCGTGCCACGCTGCCGAGGAACTGCAGGAAGAAGGTGATGAGGGACAGCTGTCCAGTCCTCGGCCACACCGCGCACTGAGTGGAGGCTTTGTAAGTTCTTTTCCAGGATTTCCAGGGTGATTTACTGTATCTGTTCCTTGGTTGAATTCGCCTTCTAGTCTTAGACTTTGGCATCGTGAGCCCCATGCTTTCGGCGGTGTCCGCACCGCGCCAGATTGGTCTGCCCCTACCACCGCAGACGCAAACGACGCTCGGTCACCTGCTTGGGCACCTGTCGGTCACCTGCTTGGGCACCGGTGTGATCCGATTTGGTCGGTGAAAAGAGGAAGGTCGGCTGATGTAAAAGTCGGCGAACAATTTGTGAAAAGAGGACGGTTGGCTTACAAAACAAGATACAACACAAGTCCGGTGGATACAAAGCAAAATCGTCGCTTTTGGATACAAAACACGATTCGCAGGGCGGCTCCCACAGCCCCCGCAGCCAAAAGTAAAAGCTGGCTCCTAATTTTGTCCCCGGCCGACTCAGCTGGTAATTTTGTCTCGTGAACCAGTGGAAAAACTTTTTGAACTGTGTACCCCGCTCACCAAAACCTTCTGACGAACCAGGGTTTGCCTAAAGCAAAGAATTGGTGGATGGTTGCGTTTTCAATGGGTTCCATAAACGAGCCTCTTCGGGATTGTTCACGCACAATCGTGAATCAAAACATGTCGCAGATTGTCCAAGCATCTGACGTGTCCGCCAATTCATGGATATCTGTGGGATCCGGCTGATGGTGGTCATCGCTGTGGGCGAGGAGCCTAAAATCCCGACCAGGATTTGATACTCGTGGCCTTCCACGAGGATCGCTACACCTTGGATGATTGGAGGATTGGCAGCATGAGTTGAAGAAACATGTTGCGGGTCCCTCCAACAAGTTGCGGTTGTGTAGAAACCGTGATGGTTGGGCCCTTTTGAATAGCTTCAACAAACTACGTGAAGGGACTCTCACTCTCCTGCGAGTGGGGTGTGGTCATGTCTGGTCTACTTTTTTGTCCAAATACCAAATGGAGTGGAGACTTTGGGGGTCCCCTGTGGTTGGGGGGGCACTTTGGAAATGCGATGGGAACCTATGCCAAGACCTGTGTAGAGCATGTTGCAACACTAATATGTAACGGATTGTCAAATGGTGTGATCTTGGAGATGGTGGTTCAATTGGGCTTGGAGTTCTGAAATCAAGTCTTTGGCACATGCATTGGGTGTTGATCACACCACCTGTTCTCAGTTCAAGTCTGGTTGCTTGGCAATTGAAAAGAAACAATGTCCAGCATAGACATCCTTCTCAACTTCCTACTAATTTCCCTAAGTCCTTCACAAAGGTCATTTCTACTACCTTAAGGCTTCTTTGATCCAACCTAAAAGTGCCTATATTTTTGGGGCACCTCTTGTTGGATCAATGCTTTCGAACATCTCTTCAGAAGCGCAGCCTCTCCCATTGCTATGTCCGGTTCCTTTTTTTACTAGCATTAGGTTCCTAGCCTAGGTTCCGTTCGCCTCTTCAGGCAGTCTGAAGAACAACACTCATAGCGGCTCCTCACTGCGTTGGGAACCTGACCTCGGCATCAAGTGACCGACCTGACTCGGCACGAGTCAGGGGGAGAATCCCACATCCGTTGAAAAACCACGGGATAATCACATGTCTTTCCCGTGTTTTGTCTATGTACAGTATATATACATGTAAACATGCATATGCATAGACATTTTCCAATTAAGACAAACACTATATCATGATTATACAGATTTTACTGGGAAGATTGAGCCGCTGTTTGGTCAAAACAGACAAAGCTTTTCATAGCTTTTCCATTGCTTTCCCTTTTTCTCTGGTCCGGTCGACACCGAGCTCGTTTGGGGGATGACATCGGCTCGTTTGGACCTTCAGAGTGAAAGGTCTCAAGGCAAGGCACTGAGCAGGATCCATATCGCAAAGCCAATAAACCTCAGGGGCCACCATCACCTATGACTTAGAGGTGGCACCAAAGAAGCGGTGAAAGAAGCCCCAAACAAGGGAGATCTGAAAAAAATCTGAAAAACACGTTAGCATTTACTGCAACAATTGGTTGTTTTGTTGAAGGGAAAACAGGTGATGTTGCTATTATGGACCACCTCCACTAACTGTGCTCATAATGTGCTCACACACACATCCACCCCCGCTCGCCCACAAAAATGAGATATGTACAAGCAGTATTCTGAGACGGATCTGAGAGGTGACTGATGAGTGAGAGTAAGAGTGAACACCCTTCATCCCACCCAGATCATGCTATCCCGATGTGAGCCATCAAAGATGTGGCGGGGAAACATCACCACAGTGATACCTGATTTTTAAACTGGGACCTTCCTGTGATCACCCAATCTATTTCCGTTCAGCACCTGTCTCTGTCTCTCGCGCCCTGTCGAGAAGGCAGGTGGTTAGGAGGGTGTAGGACTTGTTTGGAGGACCCGCTCCAATGTAAACCTCCACTAATCAGTGGAAGGCACCCAGCTGAGTTGCATCACCAAGCGGTTGACCCTCCCAAAACGAACAAAAACCCACCACGGGGAGGACCACATTTGATCAACCTACCAGACTTGATTCGATCCGTTTCTGTTTCGAGTTTGTTCCGCCTCAACTTGAGGTTGCTGCGGTTGGCGCCCTTGCGGTAGATCCACACCAACATCAGCACCACCGTGGCTTGAACCGCCACGATGCCCTGCTCGCCCCAGCCAGCCACGGGATAACCCTTCAGCAAGTTGTAGTAGGAGAAGCTACTTGCAGCGATCGCATCCTTGGCTAGTTGCAATGGTCATTAAAGAAAAACATGTGTTCCTTTGTTTAAGATTTGAGATGATTTGAGGTTAGAAAGCTGCTCGGCAAGCTTCGATGACCTGCACCTGAATAACTCCTTGAAGGGTGTGTGCAACAAAAGGATTCATTACAACTTGGACAAATAACATCCAGCAACTGGCCGCCTGGGACGTGACGCTTTCATCAGCAAGCCTCGACCGTGTCGTCCTTCTGTTGAAAGGCGTGCGAAAACATCCTGAAACTCTAAAAACATCTTATCGTTGTGATATCTTTTTATACCACAGCCAGCACTACGACCAGGTCATTGTCAGAAATGCCAGATTGGATGATACATGATGGTACAGGAAAAGCATGGCAACACCAAGTGAAAATGCCTCGTGTTCCGCTGATATTGGTCGTTTCATGCTAGGCCTTCGTTGAAACCTTTGAGACCGCTGTGTTGAAACACGCCAATTCAGTCTACATGTTCAAATAGCTTAACCGTCCACCGTCTTGGGCCAGAAAGGCTGTGATCGTATATATATATATATATATTAACACCTTAAATTCATCGTCTCACGTTTGATCCTTTCGTTCGCCATCGATTCATGCCAACGGCGCCGCGCAACCATCGCCAACCAGCCCCACATGCGCAACCTCTTGGGGTCCAAGGCGCCAGGGCACAAGCGGCCTCCGACAGACCTTCGGCGCTCGACTGGGAGACGATGAGAAAAATCTGAGGGACCTTTACGATGCACGCGCCCGCGATGACGGCGTAGCCCAGCCACGCGGCCAACACATCGGCCAGCACCATGGCGAGAACAGGAAAATACACGATCCGAACAGAAAGGATACGAGAAACGGTCTGCAATCAGTGAAGATGTGCTGGTTGATCATGGTTGATCTGCGTCATGTTGCTCTCCAAGAAACCATTGGTTGATGATATGTATTGATGATGTTCTGCCGATCTTGTAATGGCACGAAAATGATGAGTACACAATATGACAACAACAGGCTGGAGCGGGTGGGGACATACGGCTGCTCCTTCTATATACACCTATTCATACAAAATAACTTTCCAAGATAAAGGAAAGTGGTTTGATTGTACACATATCGGAGAGTCCAAACCCATGCCAGTGTTCCGATCCAAATCCGGAATCACCTGCCATCATATTTTGAGCGGCTGGAATAGGGAGTCTACCCACTTGAGGTGGCTTTAGAAGATGATGTTCTTTCTTTAAAACCCTGATCAAGCCGTGCCAGAAACTTGATCCTATCCTGCAGTGGTCACGGGTTCTATTCACCTTGAGACTTGGCTGCTGCGATGTTGCTGGATAGGATTGCTTGTCCACGTGGAAAGCTCATCTTGATTTTTGGGATCCTCTGGGAGCATTGGAAACCAACATGGCCACAAAAAACATGACATATATATATATATGTATTATACATATCTAGCATCAATCCCACAGACATTCCCAATGTCCAGGGCTTTGTTCTCATGGCCTTCATCCATAATTACAACTCCGCAGTTTAGCGTTGATGAACCAGCTCGAAATTAGGAAATCGAGCAATTGTTCATATTTTTCCCTTTCATCCCCACTAAGACTGAGACCATATGTGGACTATCCAATGATCCCGAGTAGAACGAACAACAAATGTGAACAGGTGGAATCGTGTGAATCTACATACATGCAGCAATTTTCAAACAAGTCGATGACGCAAAACGCGAGAGGTGCTTTATCATCATTTGTGATCCATCTCAAGGTCATCTAGAACTTTGCACCATCTGGTTGGTAGTTCGTTTTTTGAAGAAATGATTGGTATGGATCTATCAAGAAAAACAGGGTTGAAGATGAAGCAAAACACAAACGGACATCGACGAACACCCCGGCTGGCTGCGATCGGCCACCTCTGCCGCGATCGGCACCACCGGCTGCGATCGGCTGAGAGGGTCGATACGGCCTGGACGGTCGATTCGGCTTAGAGGTTCCAAACGAAGAGAAACCGTGCGGTTGTTCTTAGGGCAACAAAAACTGGAAGACATACTCCAAGATACTTGAAGACACCACACTCTTTTGTTGACTTTTAAAGGTTTGTAGGTGATCCAATATAGCTATATATAGTAGCGATATTGCTGGGGAGATGGAGATCGATAGTGAAGGGAGAAAACTGGAAGAGAACACACTTTTCTTAGTTGGTTGATACTGGTTGAGAGGGCAACATTTGACGCATTTGATGTTCCGGAATTGTTATTGATCTCATCGTTGTTCATCCGGGGGGACTCTCTGATTTCATCTGATTTCTATGACTCCGAAACTCTGGAGGCCAATGGTCATCTACTTGGATGATCGAGTGGATCTGCTCCAGCGATCCACGTGCAAAGGAAACTCTGCTTCAAGGCAGCATACCTGTCAGAAGGGAAAGAAGCCAAGAGTGATCGGACATGTTGCCTGCAAGAGTCCTCAACAACCCCAAATGGCCAGAGTTCATGCTCTGCTAGACCGGGCTGCCTGCATTGCAAAGGATGAACCTTCAGCAAGACTCGCAAGACCTTTGAGGCGAACGACCGGATAACTTCTTGAGAGCTCCAGTGAATTGGACTCCCGAACTCCTTCCTGGACGGGTCAGGTCTCCCGCGTCCAACCCATCCCAGCTCGCCTGGATGAGGCGGAGATGGACCACATGCCGACGCCTGTCTCCCCAAACAGGAAGCTGACGGTGGGGTGGGATGCTCCGCGTGGTCTGGCAGCTTTGAGGCGTGTTGAGTCCTTTTTTTGTATGTCGGTGAGAATAGAACTTCTGCACCACCTGGGGCACCAAGGTCCCAAGGTTCCCTCTGTTCGTGGAAGAAACGTGCACCAGATAAACAACCGATATGGTAGAACATTGAGAGCCAAAGACTCAAGAGCCACAGGACATCTGAGAGCAGGGAAATTACAGTAGATGACAGCTTGAAAGGGTGACAAGGTGGCGGTCCAGTTGAATGGAAGAAAGACATATTGCAAATAAAGCCCTTCTCCCTCGAGAAAGAGCAGAACACCTGACTAGATGTTTTAAGAATCGTTTAAGGTATATTTCTCGTATTTGCAAGCTCCGTGAGAGGGCAAACAATAAGGCGAAGACACTAGCTTTTCAGCTCAATTCATAGTTCTTGGATTTGAAATACCACCATAAAGCAAGAAGACCTCCCAGTCCAAGAAGTGTTCCTGCTCGTTCATCTTTATATAGACAATTTATGCAGTGAACTCATCACATGCATGTGTGAAACATACAGCAAAAGTCACAGAGATGCTTCTGTTCAACTGAGCCCCCTTTTGAAGCAACATACACCTCTTAGTGTCCGGTTTGACCAGCGCAATGCCCTGGCAGAAGTCCAACTCAACTTTTGAGCGGAGCACCATCTGCTTGGCACTGCAGCAAGTAACGACATCTTTAGCTCGAACAGATCGCCCTTCGAGCGTTACGAATGCGGGTAGTGTGGGTCATCGTGGGTCCCTTAATGATTCATCTTGGGCACAAAATGGTTGGTTTCAACTTGAAACATATCAGTCGTAACATATCTCACCATCCCAAGGTTCCAAGGTTGAAGATCCAAATACCTGAAACAACCACCCAGCACTTGCTATCACAGTCTCTCGCGACGACCCCACCTGCTTCAGACCCGACCCGTTTTCTGACACACGAAAACGACGGACCCCCTCACGGATCCGTTTGCCGAAACGTCTCTGGGATCCCAAACGGTCTCAGCCTGAAAAGGGACCAACAAGCCAATGAGCTTGGCGAGAGAACCAGCTGATTGACAGCTCCAGCTGGGAGCGTTTTGCGAGGAGAATCAGCTCCAACCAGATGCTTTTTGATGGGTGTCAATGGATGTTAAAACTTGTTGAAGCTGGTTCCAGCTGGTGGTGGATACTCAATTTCAGCAGCATCCTAAGGATGCAGGGAAATCGGAAGGGAGGCTGGGACAGACTCAGCTGGAATGAGCCTTGTTGGACCGGGCCAACTTGTCTAAAAGCGTTCAAAGAGATTTCCAAACGGTTTTCCAATGATGTCAACATGGGTATGGGACAAATGATATACAGTATACGCGTGTAGTTGATACTTCTCCCAATCCAAAAATTTTCCATACAGAACCAGTGGTTTCTATTGTGTTTCGCAGTCCTTCTTAGACCATCTAAGCCTGGGAAACACAGCTGATCCAAAGCAGTCCAGAATAGATCTCACCCACAGGGGAGTCCTGCATTACACAGCAAAACTGGCATGGGTAATTAGCCGACTACCACGATGGCCTCCAGGAACACAAATAGTTACCTTGACATAGTTACCTTGAAACTCAAACACTGGAAATTCATGGAAGTTAACTCATTGAAACCAACACTTCAGGAACAGGTTTCGTTTGGGACACCATCCAGCTACCTTTGGGTGTTTTCATCCAGTCCAGGTGTACTAATACCACACCAGCCAACCTACCTGCGCGGGCGCCGCGCGAGCGGCTGGCGTGAAGGTTGAACGACACCTCGGAGTGACTCCGACACCGTGTCTGTCCCTGTTTTGGAGATTCTTCGAGGGTTGTTGCAGCCCGTCTTTGTTCGGTGCTGTTGGGTTCCCCAGTTCAGTACGCAAAGACTACATTGACGAATTCCACTCATTGGGCGAACCGAAGGATGACCGTGGGAGGAACCGCAGAGTCCAAACCGCGTGTTCCTGGGTCGAGCGCGGGAGTCCCGTGAGCGCAGGAGGCATGGAGACATGTCTGCCGTTACGGCTGCCAATGCCACAAAAGTTGTTGAACAGTAGATCCTTTACTCCTGTCTGACCGTCAATCATTTTCCGGGAAAAGCGTGAGTCTGAGGATTTGGCCTGGGCTGATCTCCTCGCTACATATGACGCTCTGCCTCAACCCCTGCTCGGAGGTATATCCGGCGATGCCGTACTTGATAGCCACCTAAATGGGTCCAGGACCTGATTCCGCCCAAAGGGTCTTCACCTTCGGATTGCCGAAGTCTTCTATAGAAGGGTGACTCACCCACGTACCTACCGACCTACCTACTTACCTACCTACCTAACGTTACATTACATTAAAGTCCGTTACATTGCAAAACATCACATTATATCACATTATATATACCTGGAAACTCGAAAAGGCTCTAACATAAGCCTTTCCAGAAATATCAGTATATCAGTTTTCGAGACCTTGCGGGCTGTTTTCCAGATTGCGTGCGAAACTTCAATCTCGGCTCAAACCGCCTGTAGCCTGATGTGGATCCACCTTGAAGGTACCACCTGCCTTTCCCCACTTACAGTGCATGATTTTGCATTACTCTTGCACGAGCATTGTTGCATGTTTTTGGATTCAGTGATAGTTTTCGGGATCAGGATTGTAGTTGGATGGTAGCTATACAAAAACGAACTCAGACTGTTGGATTGTAGTTGGAACAACTTCAGGCTGCTTTGGAAAAACTTTGGTGACGAATGCACGCGAAATAATAGGGGTTCGGGCGAAATTTCGCGAGACACGAGCGAAACTTCACGAACCACCTGTGTGGGGTTGATTTCTTGCGGGCTCTTTTTCGTGTATTGGCATGTATTGGCATGCTGTGCGCACATCGTTTGGGAAAAACACCGGTTTTTTGAGTGGTAGTATTTTTGGACATGATTCTCGGATTCGTTGTGTTATCACCATGGAATTCCCTCAGAAATGATATGATAACTAAAGCGGCTCGCGTGGATGTTGAAAAAT